TACTGTGGCCATATCAGCACGGTGATCCCAAGGCTACTGTGGCCATATCAGCACGGTGATCCCAAGGCTACTGTGGCCATATCAGCACGGTGATCCCAAGGTTACTGTGGCCATATCAGCACGGTGATCCCAAGGCTACTGTGGCCATATCAGCACGGTGCTCCCAAGGCTACTGTGGCCATATCAGCACGGTGCTCCCAAGGCTACTGTGGCCTATGCTGATTCTTTTACATTTCCAATTCTAACATAATGGTTAAAAGTCTTTCGTTGGTGACCCCAAATAAATAAACAGACATTTTGTCGTGTATCTTGGGTACTTTCAGTTTTTTTTCTGACTGTTCATTCCATCTCCACAGGAAGCAGATAACTGGACGACTCTGAGTGCTGATGTTGAAGAGGTGTTTCAATCCAATGATACAGATGCTGTGAGTATCTTAAATTACTAAAGGATTTAGGTTGCATGAGGTGTATATTACATTAATATAAACTAGTGTAAGGGGCCAAAAGGGTTTTTCTAGAATTGAGTGCATAATGAGTCAGATGCAATTAAACAGTTTAATCTACATTCTATCAATTCTTTCATAATGCATCATTTGAAATTTGATCTGTGGTGGAGAAAAGGAAATATTGTCTCCAACCCGGGCCCTTCAACAGGATAAGGTCTGGAATAATCCTGATGTGTTTGAATTTTTAGATTGCAAAAAGCACCAAAAAATTAGGATGAAAATAGTTTTATAAAGGTAAATTGTAACAAATGCTTATTTATCAACAGATCACAACAAAACTGGCTAGAATGCAGACATGCTTAGTAAGTATTAAACAGACCAAAAGTCTGCTTTATTTTGTACAATATACATGCATTGTCAATTGTTAAATATGGATTTGAATAAACAGTATATAAATTTGGAAGCAGAAGTTATCAATAAGGAATAAGAAAAATAGTGTTACCATAAACTATGTACATGTCTGATTGTAAATCTAAAACTATACAGATGTATAGATAAATAATTGTATTTTCAGCAAATGTTGGTGGATACTCCAGATTATGTTGAGAGATGTGGTCACCTTGAGACGCTGAAGAATAGGCTGGAGGCCATGCTGAGTCCCCAGTTAGTGGCAGCGTTTAACTCTCAGTCTATAGAGGCAGCCCAGAAGTTCACCAGGATATTCGCCGACATAGACAGACTTCCTGCACTCTACAAGTACTATCACAAGTGTCATAAGGTATAGACTTCCTCAGATCTACAAGTACTATCAAGAGTGTCATAATGTATAGACTTCCTCAGATCTACAAGTAGTACTATCACAAGTGTCATACGGTATAGACTTCCTCAGATCTACAAGTACTATCACAAGTGTCATAAGGTATAGACTTCCTCAGCTCTACAAGTACTATCACAAGTGTCATAAGGTATAGACTTCCTCAGCTCTACAAGTACTATCACAAGTGTCATAAGGTAAAGACTTCCTCAGATCTCCAAGTACTATCACAAGTGTCATAAGGTATAGACTTCCTCACATCTACAAGTACTACATTGTATCACAAGTGTCATAAGGTATAGACTTCCTCAGACCTACAAGTACTATCACAAGTGTCATAAGGTATAGCCTTCCTCAGATCTACAAGTACTATCACAAGTGTAATAAGGTATAGACTTCCTCAGATCTACAAGTACTACATTGTATCACAAGTGTCATAAGGCATAGACTTCCTCAGATCTACAAGTACTATCACAAGTTTCATAAGGTATAGACTTCCTCAGATCTACAAGTAGTACTATCACAAGTGTCATAAGGTATAGACTTCCTCAGATCTACAAGCACTATCACAAGTGCCATAAGGTATAGACTTCCATAGATCTACAAGTACTATCACAAGTGTCATAAGGTATAGACTTCCACAGATCTACTAGTACTATCACAAGTGTCATAAGGTATAGACTTCCTCAGCTCTACAAGTACTATCACAAGTGTCATAAGGTATAGACTTCCATAGATCTACAAGTACTATCACAAGTGTCATAAGGTATAGACTTCCTCAGCTCTACAAGCACTATCACAAGTGTCATAAGGTATAGACTTCCTCAGATCTACAAGCACTATCACAAGTGCCAAAAGGTATAGACTTCCATAGATCTACAAGTACTATCTCAAGTGTCATAAGGTATAGACTTCCTCAGATCTACAAGTACTACATTGTATCACAAGTGTCATAAGGTATAGACTTCCTCAGATCTACAAGTACTATCACAAGTGTCATGAGGTTTATCACTGCACTGTCACAAAATTATTGCCCCATCTAATATTTATTTGGTTTTATTGGATTTTTTTAGGAATAAAACCATTAATGAGGTATGTTAGGGATGAAATGGCTTATGATGTGCATACTTACTTCTTAAGTCAAAGTTATTCATGATAATAATATGGAAAAAAAGTTATCCTGAATATTTACAGTATCATAGTGTCTATATTGTTGCATTTTTTTGGTGCAAAAACAAATTTCTGGAACAGTGAAACATCACCAAAATGTTTGTTTCTAATGGTGGTCTTACAGTACATGAGGCAAAAAGAGAAGTGTCAAATAAATTCTGATCCCATTGGGTTCATAGCCCTATGAATGCAATTTCTTCTGGTAGTGTTTATGAAGAGGCTTGTAGTGAAAATGTAATTATAAAATATATGGTCTCTAATAACTGGTTCAATTTGCATCTGATTACATATGATCACATCTCAATTTTTTTTATATTATCTCTAAAATTTTGAATCGAATTAGCTGTATAACTATCTGTGACACAATGCATCACATTGAAGTAAAGGTTTTCTCCTGTCTACAGACAAATCTGATGACCAGTTGGACCACTGTGATGGAAGCCAAGACAGAAGGTTCCCTGACAGACTGGATGTCGGAGTATTACGATTTACTGCTTACTACCTGGCATAACCAGGTAAGCAGTTCTCTTATGGTGTCCGTCAATAAAATCTTACAGGGATATACCCTTTATTTTCTATAATGTAATTGTAAAAACACTTTAAGGGCTTTTTCATTTACTGAACATGAAAAGAAACATGCGTGTGAACATTTTTTGTTTTATAGCTACAAACTATTTAGTTGATACAACTTCTGCGGCCAGCAATAGTATATATAATATTATGAGTCATTTAAGATGTTAAGTTGTAGACTTGTCCATCAGCTATTGAATGAAATAATTTCAAGGGTAAAGACTAACATGTAATTTTTAACGCAGATCTTTTAATTCTTTGCCAAGACTTGCCAGACAACAACATCAGATCACTAGCTCCCTCCCTTTTAACTCATTCACCCCTGAAGACGCATGTGAACTCTTCCAATTCAAAGGTTGGAATAGTTCATTATGAAATTTCAGGGGTGAATGAGTTAAACAACAACACTGTTCCAACGAAGCAAACTGTTTAAAAGGAATAAAGGTATATTATAGTGATTGTCCCCCTTATTTCCCATCGGTATAGGATTTGTTTTGTTGTAGATTAAATGGTGTAGCCAGGTGTTTGCTGACCCCGTCCCGATCGTCTGTGACCTGATCACAGAAGCACTCTCCTCTATAGACCTTGCTTCAAGTATATCCAAACACCTGAGTCAGCGCAGGGATAACCTGGTAGCTCTGACAGAACTCAAGGAGGTAATATTGAGATTTAGGACACATTTCCTGTATGTAGCATCTTAATTAAGTTTCCATTTCATGTTAGATTTATTAAATGTGTCAAGGAGCAAAGATCTGCTGAAAGAAAAAGAATATTTGGGGACAAATTTCATTTTCTCGTATGAAATGGAAACAATATAAAGATCATTTCCTCACAGTATCATGAATGCTTTTGAGTATTTATTATACACAATTTTTACTTTGACCATTGTTATGTTTTCAGTGTCATCAGATATATATATATAACTTAAAAATGTAATGTGTAAAATATATTCTCTTCCTTTAAAATCAGTATTTTCAATAAAATATTTGTCAAAGCAATAAAATATTTGTCAACGCAATAAAATGTACAAATGTTATGAATTTCGTGTATCTCGTAAGAAAGGGGGGCAAAATCTTTGTATCACACTATCAAGATTTTTTGTGAATATTTTGAAAAAAAAAAAAAAATGACATAAATTTGAAATCTAAAATTCCACCTGTTTGATTTTATATCTGTTGTCTTTATAGTGATATCATAATATAATCTGAAAAATGATTTCATTATCATATTATGATGTCAACATGGTAATGATGTGACAACTATGGTTTGTGTATTGAAGTTTGATTTAGTTATAATAAGATATGTTTACTCTCTTTTTGTTAAGATATCGGAGAGATTTTCAAAGAGTATAGAACAGTCTGTGGAGACGCATGCTAAAGGTGAGTTTTTGTTTACTGTTTAACATTTGATTTTTTTCTAAGAAATTATTTTGGGAACAATAAGGATCAAATATTTAGTTCTAGATTGAAAAAATACTTAACAATAAGTGTATTACTTTTGGGGAAATAAAACAATTAAAGATGGATTAACAGATTTTGTTGTTATGAATTAAATTGGTCAATGAAGATATGTAGAGAACAGTGTATAAAGCAAACTAGTTGTGCAAGGGCCATGCAATTTCTTTGTGTGGATGCAGGATTAGTTAATACTTACATATGTTTTAAGTGAAATAGGTTTTACCTCTGCTGTGTACATTTATTTAGATATTGAAATTAATGCATATGTATCAGACATTAATATGTTTGAAAGATATGTAGAGAACAGTGTATCAAGCAAAATAGCTGTACTAGGGCCATGAGATTTCTTTGTGTGGATGCAGGACTAGTATAATACATGTACTTTCATATCTGCTTAAAGTGAAATAGGTTTTACCTTTTTCTTTCATATCTGCTGTATAGATATATAAAGATAAAGGAATAAATGCTTATATATCCGACATAAATGTGTTAGATTAATGTGTAAGCTTTATATGACAGGTACTTATAAGTGACAGCGTCTATTGTAAATTAAAACAGACCCAGCTTATGTGTACATTTGTAAGTGCAATAGATGTATACCACCAATGATATTAAATTTATAAGAACATGCTATAAGTATAAGTGGACTTTAAAAATAAATGCTATTTGATATTATTTGTTTATGGGTATCAGTTGAGTTTTAAGAATAGACAATATTATATTGTTTGTTTATGGGTATCAGTTGAGTTTAAGAATAGACAATATTATATTGTTTGTTTATGAGTAATAGTTGAGTTTATGAATAGACGATATTATATATTGTTTGTTTATAGGTAATAGTTGAGTTTAAGAATAGACAATATTATATTGTTTGTTTATCGGTAACATTTGAGTTTAAGAATAGACGATATTATATATTGTTTGTTTATCGGTAACAGTTGAGTTTAAGAATAGACAATATTATATTGTTTGTTTATGGGTAATAGTTGAGTTTAAGATTAGACAATATTATATTGTTTGTTTATGGGTAATAGTTGAGTTCAAGAATAGACAATATTATATTGTTTGTTTATGGGTAATAGTTGAGTTTAAGAATAGACGATATTTCATATTGTTTGTTTATCGGTAACATTTGAGTTTAAGAATAGACAATATTATATTGTTTGTTTATGGGTAATATTTGAGTTCAAGAATAGACAATATTATATTGTTTGTTTATCGGTAACATTTGAGTTTAAGAATAGACAATATTTTATATTGTTTGTTTATCGGTAACAGTTGAGTTTAAGAATAGACGAAATTTCATATTGTTTGTTTATCGGTAACAGTTGAAAAGCTTGAGCACACTCGGAGCCTGGAGAAGCTGATGATGATGATCTACGCCCCATACCGACCCTACATCGCCAAGTACAAGTCTATGGAGGAGGCAACTCTAGGTTCTGATCTCAACAACGTTCGTCTGGTAAGAGTTCTGTGCATTACATTTGAGTTGGTATATATACCGTTCACTACTTTATGTCCATATGTGTTTTCAATGATGCTGTCTTTCCTTTTGAATGAAAATTTTGAGATTAAAAAGTAGAGTAACTGAATTCATGTCAAGAGAGTAGCTTTTCTAGAAAGTCATACAGAATACAGGAAGGTTTAAATAGGCTTAAGTAAATGTTGATGTAAAATTTTCAACCGGATTGGTAACAAATCTGGAGTGAAACGCATTTATCATACATTGACAAGTCTTATGTTTAAAGATAGGAAAGGTATAAAGTCATTTATCATACAATGACAAGTCTTATGTTTAAAGATAGGAAAGGTATAAAGTCATTTAGAATATTCCGTTTTAAATGTGTGCTAAATTTGTGTTTAAAAGTTGACAAAATTAAGTTGCGTATAATTATATTTTTGTGATTTTTTTAGGATGATGCTGAAGTGTTTGAAACAGTACAGTTGTTAGCAGCTTCTGTAAACAAGCTATTCAATATAGCAAAAGAAGTAAGTGAAAGGAGATACCTTGGAAGATTTAGAGGTCACAAAGGTCACAGTCTTATCATTTAAAAGTAAAATTGATTTTAAAATTGAACTTAAGAAAGCTAAAAATACTTCCTGATAAGAAATATTTTGACATTTGAATTACTATCACACAATTCTCACATGGAATTATAGTTAAATAACATGTACATCTATTTACAGGCTAATGAGAGATGTCAGCGTTTGTCCAATGGTTGTGGCTATGAATTTTTGCTTGATGCTTTAAAGGTATGATCCTTTGATGATTTAAATTACATTTTCATTAATTGTGACCATATCATTTGTATGGAATTATATGTAAGAACCTTTCATAATGTTTTTAATCTCTTATTTTTTAATGTGTATTCTTTCCACGTTGACCCTAAATGACTTAACTTGTCAATGGACCATAAAGCAATACAAAACACAGCCTTTGAACCTTTTGTCTGAACTACCCTAGAGTAGACGTAGACCTGTGTGAGGATAGGTTTGGCTCCTGGTTAAGTCCTTACAGTGTACAGTATGTAGATTGGAACCTATCTAAATAATGTTTTGTTGTTGTCCGAAGCTACCATGAAGGATTACTGTTTAATCTTACAGCATGATTTGTTGTTCCAGACCTACTTCATCAGCTACTGTCGAGAGTTCCGTCGTGTGATGGTCAACATTAAGGAGAAGTGTAAGGGCAGTCATAAACAGGACGCCGAGGACTGGACACTGTTCCAGCAGTCCCTTCGTATCATACAGACATGTGGTAGGTACTAGGGGTTATACGCCGTGGACTGGACACTGTTCCAGCCGTCCCTTCGTATCATACAGACATGTGGTAGGTACTACGGGTTATACGCCGTGGACTGGGCACTGTTCCAGCAGTCCCTTCGTATCATACAGACATGTGGTAGGGACTAGGGGTTATACGCCGAGGACAGGACACCGTTCCAGCAGTCCCTTCCTATCATACAGACATGTGGTAGGTACTAGGGGTTATACCCTGAGGACTGGACACTGGTCCAGCAGTCCCTTCGTATCATACAGACATGTGGTAGGGACTAGGGGTTATACGCCGAGGACAGGACACCGTTCCAGCAGTCCCTTCCTATCATACAGACATGTGGTAGGTACTAGGGGTTATACGCCGTGGACTTGACACTGTTCCAGCAGTCCCTTCGTATCATACAGACATGTGGTAGGCACTAGGGGTTATACACCGAGGACAGGACACTGTTCCAGCAGTCCCTTCGTATCTTACAGACCTGTGGTAGGTACTTGGGGTTATAAGCCGAGGACTGGACACCGTTCCAGCAGTCCCTTCGTATCATACAGACATGTGGTAGGTACTAGCTGTTATACGCCGAGGACTGGACACTGTTCCAGCAGCCCCTTCGTATCATACAGACATGTGGAAGGTACTAGCTGTTATACGCCTTGGACTGGACACTGTTCCAGCAGTCCCTTCGTATCATACAGACATGTGGTAGGTACTAGGGGTTCACCGAGGACTGGACACTGTTCCAGCAGTCACTTCGTATCATACAGACATGTGGTAGGTACTAGGGGTTATACGCCGAGGACTGGACACTGTTCCAGCAGTCCCTTGGTATCATACAGACATGTGGTAGGTACTAGGGGTCCAGCAGTCCCTTGGTATCATACAGACATGTGATAGGTACTAGGGGTCCAGCAGTCCCTTCGTATCATATACAGACATGTGGTAGGTACTAGGGGTTATACGCCGAGGACTGGACACTGTTCCAGCAGTCCCTTCGTATCATACAGACATGTGGTAGGTACTAGGGGTCCAGCAGTCCCTTGGTATCATACAGACATGTGATAGGTACTAGGGGTCCAGCAGTCCCTTCGTATCATATACAGACATGTGGTAGGTACTAGGGGTTATACGCCAAGGACTGGACACTGTTCCAGCAGTCCCTTCGTATCATACAGACATGTGGTAGGTACTAGGGGTCCAGCAGTCCCTTCGTATCATATACAGACATGTGGTAGGTACTAGGGGTTATACGTCGTGGACTGGACACTGTTCCAGCAGTCCCTTCGTATCATACAGACATGTGGTAGGTACTAGGGGTTATATGCCGAGGACTGGACACTGTTCCAGCAGTCCCTTCGTATCATACAGACATGTGGTAGGTACTAGGGGTTATACGCCGAGGACTGGACACTGTTCCAGCAGTCCCTTCGTATCATACAGACATGTGGTAGGTACTAGGGGTTATACGCCGAGGACTGGACACTGTTCCAGCAGTCCCTTCGTATCATACAGACATGTGGTAGGTACTAGGGGTTATACGCCGAGGACTGGACACTGTTCCAGCAGTCCCTTCGTATCATACAGACATGTGGTAGGTACTAGGGGTTATACGCCGAGGACTGGACACTGTTCCAGCAGTCCCTTCGTATCATACAGACATGTGGTAGGTACTAGGGGTTATACGCCGAGGACTGGACACTGTTCCAGCAGTCCCTTCGTATCATACAGACATGTGGTAGGTACTAGGGGTTATACGCCGAGGACTGGACACTGTTCCAGCAGTCCCTTCGTATCATACAGACATGTGGTAGGTACTAGGGGTTATACGCCGAGGACTGGACACTGTTCCAGCAGTCCCTTCGTATCATACAGACATGTGGTAGGTACTAGGGGTTATACGCCGAGGACTGGACACTGTTCCAGCAGTCCCTTCGTATCATACAGACATGTGGTAGGTACTAGGGGTTATACGCCGAGGACTGGACACTGTTCCAGCAGTCCCTTCGTATCATACAGACATGTGGTAGGTACTAGGGGTTATACGCCGAGGACTGGACACTGTTCCAGCAGTCCCTTCGTATCATACAGACATGTGGTAGGTACTAGGGGTTATACGCCGAGGACTGGACACTGTTCCAGCAGTCCCTTCGTATCATACAGACATGTGGTAGGTACTAGGGGTTATACGCCGAGGACTGGACACTGTTCCAGCAGTCCCTTCGTATCATACAGACATGTGGTAGGTACTAGGGGTTATACGCCGAGGACTGGACACTGTTCCAGCAGTCCCTTCGTATCATACAGACATGTGGTAGGTACTAGGGGTTATACGCCGAGGACTGGACACTGTTCCAGCAGTCCCTTCGTATCATACAGACATGTGGTAGGTACTAGGGGTTATACGCCGAGGACTGGACACTGTTCCAGCAGTCCCTTCGTATCATACAGACATGTGGTAGGTACTAGGGGTTATACGCCGAGGACTGGACACTGTTCCAGCAGTCCCTTCGTATCATACAGACATGTGGTAGGTACTAGGGGTTATACGCCGAGGACTGGACACTGTTCCAGCAGTCCCTTCGTATCATACAGACATGTGGTAGGTACTAGGGGTTATACGCCGAGGACTGGACACTGTTCCAGCAGTCCCTTCGTATCATACAGACATGTGGTAGGTACTAGGGGTTATACGCCGAGGACTGGACACTGTTCCAGCAGTCCCTTCGTATCATACAGACATGTGGTAGGTACTAGGGGTTATACGCCGAGGACTGGACACTGTTCCAGCAGTCCCTTCGTATCATACAGACATGTGGTAGGTACTAGGGGTTATACGCCGAGGACTGGACACTGTTCCAGCAGTCCCTTCGTATCATACAGACATGTGGTAGGTACTAGGGGTTATACGCCGAGGACTGGACACTGTTCCAGCAGTCCCTTCGTATCATACAGACATGTGGTAGGTACTAGGGGTTATACGCCGAGGACTGGACACTGTTCCAGCAGTCCCTTCGTATCATACAGACATGTGGTAGGTACTAGGGGTTATACGCCGAGGACTGGACACTGTTCCAGCAGTCCCTTCGTATCATACAGACATGTGGTAGGTACTAGGGGTTATACGCCGAGGACTGGACACTGTTCCAGCAGTCCCTTCGTATCATACAGACATGTGGTAGGTACTAGGGGTTATACGCCGAGGACTGGACACTGTTCCAGCAGTCCCTTCGTATCATACAGACATGTGGTAGGTACTAGGGGTTATACGCCGAGGACTGGACACTGTTCCAGCAGTCCCTTCGTATCATACAGACATGTGGTAGGTACTAGGGGTTATACGCCGAGGACTGGACACTGTTCCAGCAGTCCCTTCGTATCATACAGACATGTGGTAGGTACTAGGGGTTATACGCCGAGGACTGGACACTGTTCCAGCAGTCCCTTCGTATCATACAGACATGTGGTAGGTACTAGTGGTTATACACTGAGGACTGGACACTGTTCCAGCAGTCCCTTTGTATCATACAGACATGTGGTAGGTACTAGGGGTTATTTGCCAAGGACTGGACACTGTTCCAGCAGTCCCTTCGTATCATACAGACATGAGGTAGGTACTAGGGGTTACACGCCGAGGACTGGACACTGTTACAGCAGTCCCTTCGTATCATATACAGACATGTGGTAGGTACTAGGGGTTATACGCCGAGGACAGGACACCGTTCCAGCAGTCCCTTCGTATCATACAGACATGTGCTAGGTACTAGGAGTTATACGCCGAGGACTGGACACTGTTCCAGCAGTCCCTTCGTATCATACAGACATGTGGTAGGTACTAGGGGTTATCCGGCGAGGACAGGACACTGTTCCAGCAGTCCCTTCCTATCATACAGACATGTGGTAGGTACTAGGGGTTATCCGGCGAGGACAGGACACTGTTCCAGCAGTCCCTTCGTATCATACAGACATGTGGTAGGTAATAGGGGTTATATGCGGAGGACTGGACACTGTTCCAGCAGTCCCTTCGTATCATACAGACATGTGCTAGGTACTAGCTGTTATAGGTTGTGAGTTTTGAAAATCGACTATAAATTAAGGTATGGCTTAAAATCTTATCATTGCTTCAGCAGTTACAGGTGTGACAGACAGGAAACACATGAAAACTTAAATAGAAAGCTCTTATGGTTAGGAAGACGATATGAAACGTAGAGAATTCAATCATTGACTGCTCTCAATTGGAATTCTTCTTCTTTAGAATGCCAAGTGGAAATAACAAAATCCATCAAATGTAATAGTGCTTCATACTCTCAGTTGGTGATTTCAAGTTGGTATTTATATTGACAATGCCAGCTGATATTGGTTCAAGTTTTTTGGAATTTTTTATCTCAGAAAATGAAATGTATTTAAAATTATAATTTGAGTAGAGCAAATGTAGATATCATGTTTACTTATACAGTAACTGTAACAGCCACCTTCCAGAAATGGACTGTGGTGTCCAACGTGACCATTTCAGTGTTATAATAATGAAGTCTACAATTAATTGGGTCATAGCGTTCATAGCTGTGAATGAATGCCAGATTAATTTGGTGGGGTTATATTCTTGCATTGCCCAGTAATGTAACTGAAGTTAAATTCATTTAAACATGGTGTTGTATTATATGTGGTTCAGTTTTAAAAATAAATACTGAGAAACAAGTTCTTTTAAATCTTTACAAAAATCAATATTGAGAAGTGAGGAATACTGTTGTGTTGAAATTAATTTTCAGAATAATTTTAAGGATATTAAGAAGCTTTAATTAACAGGGGACCTGATAATGCATGTTGATGAGTTGGATGGCAATATCATCAGCAGTATAATGCACACCATAGCACACTACTCCAACCCTGGGTCTCCAGTCAAGGAGGTGGGGAAAATCAGGTCAGTACACAAATTTCAAGCAAAGAATTTTTAACAATCAGTATTTCTATAAGGTAGAGAATTTTAGCATGAAGGTGTCTGAAAGGTTAAACGTTGTACAGATAAGCAAGACAAATCCTGTTTACATTAGGTTTGCACCTGTTTTGGACTGAATGATATATTCAAATTTTCATCAAATAGGTAAGCTTCACTATTCTCCAAAATAAAACAGTTGTTCTTTATAAAGTAAATACCTTTGAAATTGACATGTTAATAAAATTCAAGTTTATTTTAAAGATTTCATCTGACAGAGCACTATATATACTTGATAATAGGGCCGTTTTCGTGTAAAGTGGTCAAACCGGTTGGACCACTGTTCGTTTATTAAATAAGGTCGGACCCAGTAATCTGATGCTGCTTTCAGGCGAGCCTTGAGAAAGCCTTGCAAAGCCTGCATAAACATTTGCAGGTCCGCCAGGATTTATACCCGAAATTGTTACATTTATAAACGGTCAAACCGGTTGTTCCGCATAAACACACAGGCCCTAGGTCTTTCTCTGATTATTGTTAGTGTGTTTGTTTATGAAAAAATCCTTATAACTATGAACCAACACATTGAAACCAAGTATTTGAGAGATGCATTTTCAAAGAATAAGTTACTAATCATAAAGTTTTACTGTTAAATTGTCTAGACTTGCTGGTAAACGGTCAGTTCTGCATGCTCAAGCCTCGCTGTTTCTGAGTAGCAGTGAGGATATCGCTAACCTGGAAAATCTTGTCAGCAAGCTGGAGGAAGGTAAATGTAGTATTGTGAAGAGATATAAGTCCACTTCTTCTCTGTGTTTCTTATTTTCATTCACATGTTGTCTATGTCTTGATTCAGGACACTTTTTCCACAAATAGATGACATAAGGGTTATTCTGGTTAAAATTATATGTAAGAATATCCCCTGCCATCAAAGACAAATAAAATAAATTTTGCAATAGGTGGCAAAGGCTGCATATGTATGTCAAATTGTTTTGATGGTTTCCTCCAAAGTAAAAAATGCTTTTCATGGAATCTGGATGATTTTAAACCGAATAGCCCGAAGGCAGAACTTGAAATTATAATTACAGCCGAGTTACTGTATACTGGGAATCTATTGCCCAGTCAAATGTTTGCTCTTCACTTGTAAAATCAATATTTTCCCAGTTTTAATTTTGTCTTTCACATGTAATTATGTCAAGTAGATTGTGTAGTCAGATTCGCTGTCCGGATAAATTCACCCTCATGGACAACGAATAGTTGCAGTGAAAATTTCATGTCATACAGTATATTAAAAATATTTGTTTCTTCCTTAAAGTTTGAAAGCTTGAAAATTTGTAATTCTGTATAGTCCATTTGCTAGCTGATTCTTATACCATGGGGTTAGTCCATTAGTTCTGTTTCAAATTACTACACATTTCTGTATTCATTAGATTATTTTGTTATACTGGTAATGGTCATTCTTGTCATTTTAAACACATCAGTGTTATCTTTCCTCTTGTTGCTCTATTGTTTGTCTAGTTCAAAAGAAGGGTTTGTATCTTGTTTCTTTCCCTCAGTTGCGTACATGCTGTTAACCCTTTTATCACTTTAGACAAAAATGGACTCATCCAGATCAATGCATGGTAGAGTCTACTAAAGTTACATAGGAGTGAAAGGGTTAAGAGGGAGGTGCTAAATCATTTATACCTCAATCATGCATACACTATTGCCTGCACCAAAATTTCACTTAGCCTGTTAAAATATACTTGATAATTGATACCTAACTTTCCACAACCAACAGCACCTGAACAAATGCCAATCATGGTTACTTCACACTGTTAGAACTCACTTTTGATTATTTAGGATGTGTGTTTTTATAAATTAAATCCATAAATGTAATAAGTCACAAGGATTATCATTTAAGATATTATAATTGTAATACATGTACACATTTTATATGTTCATTGAAATTTAAAATCAAAACCATTAAAGATGTTAACTCTCATTAATATATCTTCATGTTTAGTTAATGTGCACATTGTTTGTCATGAAATCAATACAGTACCCTTTTCCTCGAACACCACTATACCTTTGTCCCAGGACCAGCTGCCTGTAATAAATATACACCGACACAAAAGTGAGCTTCACAGGTAACAGGTACATAGAATACGAAAATTCTAATCAAAACTCACAATGAAATCTCTCCCACCTACGACTGCCTGTGAACACATTCTGTTAATGGAGGCTGCCATTTTGGATGTACCGGATGTAGAACTGGTTGCAATAGAAAAAATATTTGATTTCAATATAGATACATATATTCTCAGTGAACGTTTCTTTTATTTTTCCATTTTCAACAATTTCTGTGCCATTTGTTGCAGATTTCCTGGCCAGTTAAATTGTTAAGTCAGACAAAACATTTATACATAGTTGTGTCCCTTGAACTGATCCTATGGTTTTTATTACCTCCACTCCTAAAACATCTTATTCACTAAAAAAAAGGTAGAAGTTGATGTTTTTGTTCTGTTTTGTCAAGCAGTGATAACATGATATGATACATTACATACATAAGAGGAAATTAAATTTCTTTCATTGAAGGAAAAATGTGTTTTACCCTACCTATGTACCTTCTCATTTATTTGAGCCAAACAAGAAACCCTATTATAAAATTGTTTTACCTTTAGCGGAAAACTTAAGTAAAATGGTTAGAGATTATAAGAAATACAATCAAATAGTCTCAGTAGTCCAGACAGGGGACTAACTGAGATTTTTACGTTTGTTATGATTTGTTTAAGCTGTGTATTAATTCTTTAACTGGACTATCGATAAGTCTTAAATATTACCATGCATATGAGTCAGTACTTGCATTTATGTCTCTATTGTTTCAAATACCTGAGGTCATAAGCTTATTTGTTTGTTCTGATTCCCAGGAGAAACCCCATCAGTTCTGACAGACATCAAGAAAGAGTTTTGTCGACTCAGCGAGGAGGTTCATCGGTTCTCATTTGATATTGTATTTGCTCAGCTAAAGGACTACCTCATAGATCTGGCCAACATGGAGGTATGTGCTTCTTTAGCCTCAGGTAGTCGACATTTCTACCAGGAGAGAAACTCACTAATCAAATTGTTCACAGAACATAAATTATCATAAACACTCTGAGTGACAGATCACAACATAGTTAATTATTTCAAAGAAAGAGTGAGAGAAATTTCAAGCACGAAATAATTACCGGTATTGATATTTTTTCAGAGCAGAATAAGTCTTCGACATTCTTACAGAAAAGTAAAAAGTTAAAGATTTTTTCACATGGCGAGAAATTATAGAATATTCTCACAGGAAATAATGATTACTCTCTTATATAGTATAATTAGCATTCTTTTTTATCTTATTATTTCTGCTTCTGGCTAGATTTGGATGTCTAAAAGTGCTGGTGGAGCATTGACCTCTGACCTTCCAACTTTCAGTCTTTCACCTCAGGAGTATATCACCAAGGTAAAAATATTGAGAACCATAATTTTAAATTAGGTGTCCAAGACCATGACCAGCTACTCAAAGCCCTGTTACCATTTGTATGATTAGTGATATTTTCAAAATCTTAAAAAGGTTTCTACATTTCTAAAGATTAAGGTATATGAGTCAAATCCACCAAAAGGTAATACAAAGATAGTTTTGGTAATAAAAACATTCTACCAATAGCTTTTCAATTTAATGAATACATGTAATTGGATATTTGACAAACTTCCTCCCACCCTTCTCCTATAAGTGAGCAATAAGTGTGAAGTTCTGACCAAAACATTAATTGGTTTGGCTGTGGTTTGTTATTTATGATAATTTACGCACCTTTGTTTACTGGTCCATAGATTGGTCAGTACATGATGACCCTTCCCCAACACCTAGAACCATTCACCATGCAGGACAACCCAGCGGTCATTGTGGCTCTCAAGCATGGGAAACTACCATACACAGATGAAATGGGTAAGTTTGTCCGAGCAGTTACACCTGTAGTTAACCCATCCATGGCTGCTTTATAGATGTCAGCTTAAATAAGGCTTATGTTATTTTGTTTTAGGAAAACTATAAGCCAGCACTATATTACATGTAAACTTTGGGTAAGAGATTCCCCTATCTCAACCCCAAGGGGGTGAGAGATTCTACTAGTCCAGATATATGTAGCTGCTATTGTCTTTCTTATAAAAACTTTGAAAATTCAGATTTTTGGAACTTTTTCCTGGTTATCCAGATTCCTTTGTATATCTATAGCTAGTGTTTGTATGTTATACAGAATTGCCTGAACACACAGCGGACCTATGGCTGGAGTCTATCGCTCATGGAACCATGCATTTCTACTGTGAAGAAATACTCAAAATACATGAACTGACCACCCATGCTACAAAACAGCTAACAACAGATATAGGTTTGTGTATACATATGTCATTTGAACATACATGTATATAAATGTTAGTGAAAACAAGAAGAAATACAAATGATGCTGTCCATATGGACTTTCATATCTGATGAGAATTTATAACTAAAAAAAACCCACCCCACATTACCAGGTAAATTGAAAAAGAACATTAAAAGTAGAAACTTTAATTCTAAGGCTTTCTTCAAGAAGTCGGGCTAGTTTGTTTATTTGATAAAGTTTGAGCTTGATTCCAGGAAATACAAAGGTTAGATGAAGGGTAGGGGTTAGCACTTTAGAATTAAATCCCTTAGCATTGGCTTTGATTTTCCATGTTCTATATGAATGACCTTTTAACGTTCTTCCTTTCCAGACTACCTGTGTAATGTACTGGATGATCTAGGACTGCACATGTCTGAAACCTTGAAAAATATTGACACACTTTTAAAGACGTCGACAGAAGACTACCACGATGTGACAGAAAACATGCCACAGAGATTAGCACACGCCATCAGCAGCATGAGGAGGATAGACTTGTAGGTGTGATACGCTAGGGGAGGTGTGTCTAGGGGGATTTCAGTGAGACGTGATGGATAAAGCGGTTAAATTGATGGATTCTATTTGACAACCAAGATTTACATAGTTTGCTACGTTATGGTGACTTGTTCAGTAAACCTTCATCAGCTTATAGAACGAAATATCCATTTTTGATGAAAATGTGAAATATTATATGCAATAGATGCTTTCAACAGCTTTGATGAGGAGGATGCATATCTCTGTTTAACTGTTAACCCTTTCAACACTGTAGACCATAATGGGCTCATCCAGATCAATTTATGGTACTTGTTATTAAAGTTACATAGGGGTGAAATGGTTAAGGAAAGCAGTGTCAGACACAAGTGGGACCACATCATGTCAGTATAACTTGCATGAGGACATTCCTATGACCATGATAGGAGGCATGGAAGTCTAGAGGTAGGATGGCAGGCTCAGGACCGAAGGGTTGCAGGTTTGAGTCATGTCACGGCACTTTGTTGTATCCTTGAGCAAGATACTTTACTCCGCTTGTTCCAGTCTACTCAGCTGTAAATGGGTATGTGGTTGGGCAGTGCTAGAATTGTTGAATGCTAGGTGTGAGCGCCGAAATGGCAGCACTGGCTGTATGCTCCCAAGGGAGTTGAGAAAGATATTGGCTGGTTGCAAAGGCCCTATATATCCAAGGATAATAATTTGTGAACTACTTTGAGACGACTAGCTAGGTTGTGATAAAGCGGTATATAAGAACCTTGAATTATTATGATAATTATTGACACATTGAGGTCTGGTTAGTAAACGGCTAAAAATCTTTTCAAGGATAAGGGCTTATATGTAACATTGCCCTTTCATGAATTATTAATTAATTAATTAAAAGATAAATAATATTTTGACACAAAATTCAAAATAAAACTTATTTTTTTAATTTAGTAATTAAGCTAACAAAGTAAAATCTTTCTGATATAATTTGTTTTAGAAAATTGCTAAATAGACAAAATGTAAATATCACAGAGAAAAAAATAATTTGTTGATTAAAATTTGGAATGTATATATATGTATACCAATTGTTAATAATCTGTTGTAGATATAAGGACAAAATAGGAATAAATTGATGAATTCAAACCATTGGTAATTTTTACTTGTGGGTTTAGTTCTTGAGAACATAAAATATGTTCTGTGGGTGTATCAGAGATACATGTATATTATATTGTTTTATGTCATTGTCTATATCTTTATGGGGTTTAATTTATTGGTGCAAAATGAGAAATGAATGAAAGGATGACATGTCATGTATAAATATGTGTATGTATTGGTATGACACAATGAATGTCCTGTATGAGCAACTTTTATAATACCATGTATGTCAATGTGTTTTGTATGAACACTGTATGCAATCTTGCATGTATGAATTATGTGCTATTTCATATCATGTTATGATGTGTGAGAAAGTTATGATATAATGATATCATGTAAAAATGTGAGAAGTGTCTGAAGTTTGTGTCCTATCATGATCCGGCATCTCAAAAATCACTGAAAAGCAGAAATTGGAATTAGCAGAGCTGAGGCCATTGATATGACATATATTATAATTACTATCTTGTATTGATCCAATATTAATTAGTGTGCTGTTACATTATTGAAATGTTACATGTTATGAATGCTGCATGAAATGCAATATTAAGGATGTACATTATGACTAGTAATGATGTATGACATTTTATAAGACTGCATAGTCACCTAGCACACAGAATGAGAAGAATACCATGATCATGAGCTCATCTGGCTGGATTGATAAAGGAATAATTTTCTTTTGACATTCATTTTAAAATTTCTAAAACCCAAGTGTCTGGATTATATGAAATCAAAACTGTATATTAACGTGATTTATTGCTCATGTAATCACGGTATTAAAATTGTTTTTAATCAATTCTTTTTCATTGTTGAGTTTCGTTTGTTGTCACTGACGACATGGCTTCAAACAATTGTGCATGGAAGTTTGTTTTTATTAGAATGATGAGAAAAACAATATGTGAAATTGCTAAAACTTCCTGTATATAATCGGGAACGATTAAAACAGTAAAAGAAAAAATCTTATTCACTAAAAATGGTTAACTAATGATACTTGCATATTGGAGTGTTTGACTTGCTCATGAACTAAGTTAAACCGGTCTAATACAGTCAATTACATATTTAAGGTCACAAAACCACAACCTATGATAATGTGAGATAATATCACTGCAATTAAAAGGTCCATTCGGGTTGTCTCCTCATTTATCCTTAATATATTACAGCTTACATCAGATAAGAGATAAGCAGACAAAACTGCTCATTTACATCTTTGATTAGTGACCATTATATATTACCAAAAAATTAATATCGTCAAGAAGATGATTTCACCATGTATATAAGACAAGAGAAATGATCGTGCTCAATGAGAAAAGCATATTTGGTGATTAGTTTCAATCGTGTTTCTGAGTAAAATAGTTTATAGCAAGTAGTACTATGGTTTCCCATCATGAAAATAGAATATTTACTACTACTTGTGTTATGTGAATTAAAAATGAACGATAACGATTTGGAATTTTGTGGATATCCGTCTAGGAGGGAAAGAATTGATACTGGTCAAACAGAAAGAGTTGTTTGAACCCAGAAACTGAGACTACTTATTTTGCTTCCTACAGTACACTTAAAAATCTGTTAAAGGGCCGGTTTCCACTTGGTTTGTTTTTTATGGCTCCTCAAAGTTGTACCTTTCAGAAGCTGTCTAAGTGTTGATAAAATGTGCATGTTATGTAAAATATTAATGAAAATCTAATCAAATGATGGTCACCGTAAAGAATACATTCATGGCATGATTGTGACAAAAAATCATGTTTCCATCGCGCCATTTGGCTGTTTTATGGAAGAAACAATCTCAAAAATGCCATTTTCGATGATAACATTTTAGACACAAAAACTGTGTTTTTTAGAGAATACACCCTTTTATGGGCGTTGGATGCAAACCAATTTTTATCCTATTAAACAGTACGTAATATGCTATTGATGAGAGGAAAAATCATCAAAATGTAAGTGGTGGAACATTTTCAAATGTTGGGTTGAATTAGCCTATGGTTGAATTGCCGATTTTCGACTTTCTTTAGATAATTAACAAAAAAACGAGAGTATTTGCTCGGTATGTTGAGAATATGTACACAGATATGAAAAAAAGTGAGAGAAACACTTTTTCATAAAAAAAATCCAAGATGGCTACTTCACAAGTCCCCGTGGTTGAAGACATTGGCTGACAAATAGACAGAACAACAAACAAAACGTGTTCCTTATGATTTTGGTTGGTTTTCGCATTTACGGGAGTGTTCATAGCTACGGGCGATTGTATAATACCTATATTTATAAGTTTGGTTAGTCACATGGTAACGGGGATCTTTCATATCGAGCCCCAAACATACTTTCGACATATGCACTCCGTTGCCGCATGGAAAACTATTTCAAGTTTTGTCGGAATTTCTTTACCTGTGGTTGTAATGGTCGAGGGTTTTCCAGCGTCCTGTAATACCCAAGGTAGTACAAGATACTGGAGATGTGCGCACACATTCCCATCGTTCTCTCTCCAACTGGGCACTGGCAGTAGTAGTCCTTTATTGGGGCCTCAACATCGGGTGAAACGGTGAACCGTATCCAAACGTTATATTTCGTTTGGCTTTTGTGTCGAGAATGTATTTGACATCGGAGAAGGTCTGGGGAGTGCTGGTAAAGCCACACCTCATAGTCTCCGTCATCACTTAAATGTTCGGCGATGTAACCAGGAGCCAGAGATATCTGATACGTTCCACACGTAATGGTTCTCAAGTAATCAAGATCGAGACGGGGAAACAGTACGGAAGATGCATCCATCTTGACAAACTCGGACCTTGCCCGTCTAGATAGATCCGGATCTGTCTTGACTCTCTGAGCTAAACCATTCGGTGTTGTCAAACGGTCCTTCATACGTTCAGCCATTAGCCTATCTTTGGCATCTCTCTCTGGAGATCTCTGGTAGATCGGTCCTCTAATACCATTCAGACAGGCTGTGACGGTTCGAAGCAAAGCCTCGATGACATTGATAAAGCTGTTAGACACCAATTGCGTTCGGAAGAACGTCCAGTGTTTCAGACGACCATGATAGGATTCCACAATCCACCTCGATTTGGTGATAGTTCTGTCAAGATTTGCTTGGACGTCAGAATGTTGACTTTGACCGGGTTTCAGGTATGACGGCATGCTAGCATTGAGGCCAGAGGCTTCGAGAACTGGTAGGACATCTCTAAAACCTCGGTCAACGACAACGTTGTCGTCTGGTTGTAGCCAAGTAACTAGCTTGTCCATGACTTTTTTTGTAATTGTAGCATCATTTTCGCTGCCAGTGAATGGTCCTACTGTGTCCAGAATGTAGCCATCTGGTAAGGCGATGCTCATGAATTTGAGATAGTTTCTCTTCTTCTGGCCACAGTAGGACATTCTCTGGAGCTTGTGGTCGGAGCTTTTCTGGATATAAATATAGGTGCCATCTAATATGGCAGTGGCTTTATCTCCAAAAAATGCTTCTGAAAAGACAGTATTGTGCCCGAGCAACTGTTCTCTTGTCAAGTGATCCGGACCTAGAAATTGTGGGACTATCGATGTGTCTAATGCCTGTACTATGGAGTGGAAAGTTTTGGACACACTTGACTTGGAAATTCCAAAAAGAGAAGAACACTGACTCCAGGAAATGTCGGTTTTCAGTTTTACCCAGAACAGTAATAGAGCATCGTGTGTAGTCTTGGTATATATACCAGATGAAAGATATGGGGAACAGTGCGAGTGGATTTCGAGGAACTGATCTTTGGACCAACCTGTCCAGGCCATGCATGCCGAGTCATCAAGAGAAGAAAAGCTTATTGTAAACGCAGACTGGTTCTGTGAAAGGACGTGCGACACCTCTAGGAGGTCATTAATGATTTCGGACGATTTTGATGGTAACTGAGATTCCAAGGAACCTCTACCATCAAGGACAACCTCTGTAGACGGATCTAAGTCGTTACCAATAAGGTGAATGGAGCAGACGCGGGATGAGGTGGGACACCACAGTTTGTGTGAATAGATCAGGTGATGTCTTGCACGTTTTGGTAAGACTGATGATTTTGTTCCATTTCTTGCAAAGGTAACAAGACAGAGACAGCATTTTTTGTGTGAAGATGATCCATTCAAAAGATCATGAAGGGTCAGCAACGGCAGGATATGGGACGGGGAGTCGTCTTCTTCCTCTATTTCCTGGTTCTGCTCGGGTTCAGGTTCAGGCTGATTTTTGTTCCGAAGATACTTCATGTAGCACTTCTGGCAAATAAGTGCTTGTTCCTTTGCTGACATCAATCCTTGTTGCACCAGCGTATCTAGGAGCCATTTATATTGTGGACTATTTACATTGCGTGCACTTCTGTTCTTATTGCCACTACGTTTCTTGAAGTATACTTGACACCCTTCTCCAACACATTTACCCTCCATCTTGAAACAATAACGATTGGTTTATGAAGCGTCGATAAAGTAACAAAATAGCAAGCCACCGATGATTGCTGTAAACAGCTAATACTTAGTAGTTTGGTACAATTATGCGAAAATGTGTGATAAATAACGAACAACTAATTACACAAAATAACAAGACAATATAATAAATCACATTCAATACCTCCAAGAAGCGCAGAATTGATTGATTACTTAGAACAAAATAAAGTATTTCATATGGATAATCTATCTATTCGATGTGGCGTGGTCGGCAGGCACAAAGAAAGTGAGACAAGTCAGGGTCCCAACCCTGACAGAGCCACAACGCTTTGGAGATGGGACAATAAAACAAGGAAAGTGAGACAAGAATAGCTAGCGTCGAGTCAATGATTCCGTAAACGTATAGACAAAGACAAGAAGATACGGATAAATGTACAAGGCCACACGATCAGAAAATTCAGAAGAGGACAACTTGAGATAGAACAGTATTCATGTATCAGGGTGTCCTCAGTGTAAATCTTTATATCGATACTGTTTATTTAGTCGTTACACATCATAAAACTGTCATGAAAATATCCGCTCTGATATTCAATATAAAAGTTTGTATATAATAAGCTATATAATAGGGTTTCAGACAAGGTTGTTACTCATTTCCCCTTTTCTTTCAATTTACAACCACATTCAGGCGGCGATATGAGAACGTTCCACCACATGGAATTAGCTGATTTTTGGTACACATATGAAACAAGTAAAGCTCTATCCGATTTTCTGATGGAAATTTGCATCCAAAACTATATAACGGGAGAAAATTGCAATTTTATGGCATTTTTCTTCATAATTGTGTCTCTGCAAGTGCATTTTCATCCGAGAATATTTTTTTTTATGTTTTATGAATAAACACGATGTTTTGGAAATATTTATCAAAAGAAATTTATACTATGTTGCGAATTACAATTTCGAGATAACCTTCTTTTATTTACGAACTTATGTCTTTGATGCTGAAATTGACAACTTTATAAAAATACATTTTCACTGAAATTATGAAATCTGGGTGTCGGAAAGGTGTAAAATTATTCTTCGGAAAAGAAAAAAACAGTAGTTGAGCCAGATAAGAAATTATACGGCGGCAGGCTCCTATGGAGAATTAATATTACTGGAAACAGGCCCTTTCATTCTAAAATATTTATTTGGCAGTATTCATTATACTAGACTGCCTTTTATTCACTAAATATTAGAGTATTGAAAAGTCAAGGTAGTTATAAATTTCACCTCACGATATTGTAAACATTCGGTATATTGAAGAAAAAACACCGGTTGCACCGACTTTTTATTAAATATCAAAGATACTTTAAGTGAATATAAACAGTGTCTGATTGGACAAAAAATTAATCTCACTTGTTAATCAATGTTTATCTCCACTGGAGCGATTCCGCTGTTTCGTTGATGACTCATCATATCTATTTGTATTTTCAAAAGAGTATTGAAATCCTTAAGTAAGAAAGCTTTAAGATCTTTTGTATTAATCTATCTCTAAAACTTGTCATTTTTTTTATAGCTTAAGAATATTTGAAAAGTGAAATATAGAAACTGAAGATAGGTTCGCTATAGTAGAATCGACATCAAAAAATAAAGTATAATGTGATGTACTATCACATCAATCAATCGTATACGTTATAACTGATATACACGCATTGCTGTTATTTTATGCAGTTCCTTATATTCGGACACAAACAACTTGTCTCGTAGTGTGATTTTTCTATCTTACATCAACTCTTACATAAATACAGCCCCGATTATAAATGATGACGCATTGTTTTGTTTACAAAATAAGAGAAGATTTTATTAGCCGATATATCATCAGCCAGAGTAACACAACTATTGAATTCGTTCGATTAGTTTTCCTCAACACCAGGTATATACCTTCGACCATTCTCAGACTAATATTTTGTCTCTAGTTTTGATCACTGCTTCAGTTCTGTTAGGTGTGCTATGATAACGTACTTTACAGAACGATTTATCTTATGAGTACCAATTCCTTTGCAAAGCACTCTGAAGGCACACCTTTATTGTCAACATCTGTATTATCATCAGTTTTTCATGTGACCCAGATGTTTTCGATTGAGTTCATGTCAGGAATATTTCTTCGCCATGGTAATATATTATTTTCTGCTTTGTTCTGAAATATTTTTTATTTAATTATGACAGGAAGCAAAAACTTACTAAAAGATATATTCCTTATAAGAAAACACCAAATATTCGGACGCCATCTTAAATCGTTTCCAACTCTTCCTTTGGTATCGGACTCGGTTTACAAATACCTATCTTTAATAACCATAGACAGGGTTGTGTAGTGCCATAGCCACTTCTTTACTGATTGTTAAAGACAGCTATATCTGTAAGGGATTACAATAATTCATGAACTTTCAAAGTTCTTCTATTGATACGGGTTAGGGTTAGGGTTAGGGTTAGGATATGGTTTGCATATACAATATACAGATTTTACAAACTGATGGAATAAATTAAATAACAGCGTTTTCTGATTGTTACCGTAAAAGAACCAAATTCTAGTCAAATTGTTCGTAATTGTCATTTTACCTGGGATAATGTATTTCAATTCGACAGGAGGTATAACAGTTTAATACATTACTGACACCTTTAAAAAAACTAAAAAAAACATAGTGTATTTTCAATTAAATGAATATGTGTTCTTAATATCTGAAACATAAAAATGTGCTATAAATTTCTAATCAAAGCTGTATAGTGCTTTCAGTAGACGCACAACAGGACGATAACTTAACATATTGAAAGTGGTCTTCTGTTAAACGTTTCATTACTCAAACTACGAGGAAAACAATCACGTATACTTGTGGAAGATTGAACTATAGCTCTGCGGCGCCTTCACATTATTACAAAACATTTAACCTTGTGTGCGATCAATATGTTTGTCACCAGTATCACTTTAGATATATGCCTACACTACAAGTGGTGATTTGTAAATTTACATGATAACTAAACTAAACTAGAGATTGGCTATTTATATTAATTTATTGTAGAGTGTAACATGTAACACCTCTGTTAAATTTCCATGAGTTATTGTCGTCCATACAAGTGGCGAATGATTTGTGCCGACCCTCCGGAACAGTCAAGGAATAAGACAGGGAAATACTGCCTTACTGGCAAGCTTGCTTCTCCAGCAACGTAGCATATGGTTCCGTTGAACTGGCACAGTAATTAAGCAACAGAGAACTTGGCCATTGGATGTGAGAGTTCCCTATCGCATGTTACATGTAAACTATATTGTTTTATATATGTTAACGAAGCCTAAACGCCATATTCGGTGATCATAAAACTCTTAAAATGTACTATCATGCTTTGCAAGCGTGCGCATGTTAACCAAACAGTGACACAACCTCCATCCTTTTTGGAAGTGTGCCCACACTAATTTAATATTATTTGTACTGATGTCACAGAAGTTTGAATTCGGCTCTGCAAGGTTTCTTTGACTTTTCCTCTACGGCAGTTACTTTGAGCTCTGTATCGCCAAATTCGTAAAGTACAATCAAAGATCTTTCTTCATTTGATGGGTCAGGCACTTCGATTTCCATTTCTCCCAAGGGTTCGCAGTCATCGTCATCGGTGTATTCTGGCGATTCCTCCGGAGAGTGATATATTTTCAGCATCATGCTCGTTTGACACGGCGTTGTGGTGGAATAGCCACTGATCTCTTTATGGTGCAGGGGCACAGATGTTCCCGCTTTCATAAAGCTGGAGAAAACATCGAGACATCTATCTGTATCGGCTATTCTACATTTCTTGTCATTTCTGTGTTTACGAGGGTTGAAATCTGGTACAATGCGTGCCCCATATGAGTATCTGATGATACGGGAAGTGATTGTTTCCGGGGTATGCCCATATATGACCGCACCTTTCAACACTGACAAACCGGCCTCGTCTGGTATGATGACTCGCTTGTCAGGAAAAGCCTTCCGGATGGCCGCCTGCACCATTGGTGATTCCGAAAACCCACCAACAAGTAGCAAAATTGAAACCCCATTCGTTTCTCGCCTTTTGAGGATATCTTCTAGATGTTTGACTATCTCCTTGATTACCTCACCGAAGAAGACTTCTTTCATCATTTTTGCATCTATCCTGAGTTTATCACCAAGCAGCAAGACCTTATCTGACATCGTACTCTTCGCAAGGGCGTCCTTAAACGTCTCCCCAGAATCCTCCATCACAGTATTGATGGCCACAATAGGAATGGTTAAGTTGACCTTGCCCTCTTTCGTTGGCGTGACGGTCCTCTTAACGGTCTCAAATTCTCTGTATAGGTCCAAGTAGCTACCTGGGAACTGTTCCGCCAGATCTGTCATGACGGGGTTTCCTACCACCTTGATGAACGCAGACTGGACAAATTTGCTGTCGACGGCGGTACCACCACAGGCCCCTCCACTAGCCTTGTATAGCTCCTTCAGTTTACCACCCTCAAGTTTCTCATGCACAGTGATGTCGGCAGTTCCTCCTGAAGATTGCCATTAGAAGAAGTATAAAATAAATGTAATAAATGGATAAATGTTGCATTCACACCCTACATATTGGGTGTATGGTAGAATTATACTACCCCAAATTTCATGTTAAGAATTTATTGTTTTGATCTCATGGAACCAAAACCCCATTGTCCTTCCCATGGTGTTTTTCTGACAACCGTCCTTATATGATTAATCGATACTCTTTGATAATATTTACACGGCATGAAATTTTAAGGCAACACCAAAAGCCAATAACAAGAAAGGAGAACCAGTACAAAAGGAAGGAAACCATGATTACACACATGGCTGACTGCTGACAAAAGAAGGCAAAATTCAGTGTTCCGGAAAGGTAGGCATCTCTTGTCAAACAGTGCTATGCGTAATAACAAAGTTACCTCCGAGGTCAATCACCATGTACTTTGTGCCCTTCTTGGTGACGGAGAAACCTGTCCCAGCCCCAGTCAGCTTGTCTAGGGGAAGATGCTGACAGTACATTGAGGCTGCCTCCGGTTCTAACGCTATCTTCAACTGGTTTCCAGGAATACCGGCCTGTCACGGAAAGGAGATTAAAATGTACTGTGTGAATAGAAAGATGAATTTAAGATACACTCATTTGAATGCATCTGTAAAATGTGGAAATAGTAATCTTTCCATGACTCATTAGTGATGTAAGAGGCAAGTAATGGAAATCAAATTGGTCTAAACATATATTGAAACAGAAGGGGGGATGCATAAAATAACTTGATTTGATGAATGTCAAAACTGAGAGGAGTATTGTCTTGATAATTTCAAATCATTAACGAATAAAGAATGATAGAATCAAAATACAAATAGAGAGGAAAGGGATGTGATAGTTTACAAAAATATGGTGCGCTGCTGGATAAAGCTGAAACTATTTTGAAATATTTTAAATAACACTTTTTAAATTTTGAATGTGAATATTCAAATGTTCGAAATGAGGACAGATCTTCCGAACTAAAAATCATAACTACACTATTTTGAACTTAAAAACATATATTTTCTGGCTAAAAGAAATTAGAATATTTTTTTTTTATTAAAATCATTTTTGTATTTAGCTCAATTTCATTAAAACACATGACCAGTAAAACTTTTGTCATAGGTAGATTTTGACATTATTTTTTACATTAGTGCCAGTGATGTACAGTAAATATTTACTATGTTAATATCCATGCTTAGTATTCATTCCACTATCTTACGTTACGAAATGGATGACTTTGCTAATGGATTATTTGATAGGTTGGCCGTAAGCCTGTAGCTGGAATTTATTCTGGTACGGTAATACAAAAACCACTACTTTGAACACGTTTGACACGAATGTAAATGTTTGACCTTAGTGCCAGGGATGAGTCCCATATGGTACAGTAAATAATTGCTTGTTGTTGGCTTTCTGGATTAACGAACTTAATTTAAAATAGGTAGTTCTCTTCTTCGCGTTTCTAAAACACGTTTGACCAACTGATGAAGAATACCCATATTAGGTTAATGTCTTGTATTAAAAAAATCTGTGTTGTATCTGTGAACGAAAAAAATGACATTCCATGGTAGACAGGCCAGTGTGGGTTATTGAAACCAAACGTTGAATGCATATTTTAGTTAGGGACTCGGCAAATCTCGTCTTTGCTATCAAATTAGAAAGATATGGTAAAATGTTTCAAACCCAAAGTATTTAATATGAAATATTAGTTTTGATTCATACCTGTTCAGCTGCTGAGCGCATAAACTGTTTGGCTGTATCAGACCAGATAGCTGGCACTGTAAGGACCCATTGGATCTCGGTTGGCTTGATGCCTGTCGCCTGGTTTTCCAGAGTTCCCATCAGGTGTAACTTCAGGGCGCTTATAGACTTTGCAAAAACGTCCAATGCGTTTAATGCCTTTCCTGTGACGTCTTTTACCTTGGTAGACTTTGACAAATCCTAAAATAGAAGGGAAAACTAGTTTAACAGTAAACTGTTAGATTTTTAGAACGTCTTTTTAATGTATACATGTTTATGCTTAGTATTGGATATATTTGGTATTTTGTAATTCAGACATCTTCAAAGGAAGTTAAACATAGGTTAAAAATGTATTGTAAATTACCTGTTTGTCGTTGCCTATATTTTTGCGATAATTTTCGAGGAGATTCGATCACAAATCGAAGCATATTGTTGATGTTTATTCGTTGATGTACAATCTCGCTGAAAGCTGGATATGGAATTTAAAGCAAAAAGTATTGCAATATTATCTTATAATGAATGCTTCGCAGCATTCAACAGTTATGGATTTATACTTTTTGAGAGCTTTCTCAAGACTTAAACATATGTAAGAAAGGATTCTTAAAAACCAAAAAAAAAAAGAGAGATAAATTTCCAAACAACTCATAAGCTTTCCCCGTCTATAAATGATTCTTGCTAATTATAATAGTAATAAACGAATTCTTTTGATAGCTTTCATCTTACAGAATGTATTTGAGTCTCAAACAATTTTCATGCAGTTTTGTTACGAAGAAATATAAAACAGAATACCACGTTAATTTCATACACGTAAACGAATGATATGCCTGGGGGATGATGTGTTTGTTTCTATTAATTTTTCGTATAGAAAAGTTTGTGAATAACAGAAATGCTTTAAGGATCGCTGCCCCACTGTACTGTAGTCATCAGTATATACAGTAATCACCCCTTAATGTCGATTTGGATTTAACTTTATAACAGCTTGGCCAGGACACTCCTGTCGACCAGGTAGATCAGTCAGTAATGGTGATAGTATTCTATCCTGTAGTCAATACATCGGTCGAATTCCGGTCTAATTATTGCTTTAATCAGAACATTTTTATTGATTATTGTTTTTTTTTTCTCCATTTTCCATACAATCATAAGGTATTATTTTCTTTTGAGAAAGGATTTACCAAAGCTAATGGCCCTTTCAACAAAATCGGGTTCTAGTGCATGGCAGTGGTACGGATATCCCGAAGTACACATATTTGGTGTATAAAATAACGACGTTTATAATACCAAACCAAGCAAAACATGCAATAATCACAGCTTACAGAATTTTGATGAAGCTTCATCTTGAATCTCTGGAAATAGTAGTAATCGGCTGCTTTGTCATCCATAAGAAGATCCGAGTAGGTATTCTCAGCCTCGTACCCGAACGACACCAGTTTTTCGTTTTTGTCCAGGAGAAGACAGGTCGGGGTTTTGAGTGAGAGTAAGGATTTGCCGCCAGCCACCCATGCCTGGTTCGAGTGGATCTTCAGCGGGTTGTCCTTATATTCAGCTGTTGTAGAGAAGGCGTAACCAGAATAGGTCGTCCCGAAGTCTATCGCAGCCACTAGCAGTTTGTCGGAAGTCATCGTCTGGTAAGTAAAATATCCGTTCGATTTCATTTTGTAGTAATAGCTTATCAAAATATCAGTTTACGTGAGGAGAGTTTTTAGAGGTGACTTTTCAATACATCTTTGAGTAAGCTTCCGGGAGAATGTCATTGTCATTTTAAAACATTATTAGCCTTGATGATTTATCAACAATATATTTATTTTTATTTTTCATTTTTTTTTATGGACAGCGGGGCAATATAAAGGTTTTTTTTGCGATCCTGCGAATTAGGGATACGATGATTTAATGAATATATATCTAGTGTTTATTTGACATATTGTCAGCGATGCAGCTATACAGTTGCCAATTGCTCATTTAATATAGAGATAACAGTACTGTATATGTATCTAGTATTAAGGTTTATTGGAAGCGATTTAAAACATTGACATATTTTTGTATTTGCAGATATCGTCTTAATGTCCATTTCAGTGTCAAAAACATTTGTCGATGACTTAAGATAAAATATCATGTGAAGTTATTCACTGTCCCTATCCGTAAATACGGTGGGAGTTGTTTTTGTACTCGATATGAATACATAAACCCCGTAAACATGACATTTTACATTTGTTTATTACAAGATCTTTATGGAACTTATAGCTACTACTTATTTTCCTATCAACTAACTTATTTAATTTTCCCAAATGCGAATATAGTATCAAATGATTTTTTGAAAATAGCGATTTGTGTTTCCAAGAAATGTTATAAAATCTTACCACATTATTTGTTACAAAAACCATAGAATAAATTGACTTGAAAGCATTGCATTTTCACTTCGCAACTTAAGAAGTTTTTAATTCATTATTTCTAAATTATTACCATTCGTAAGCAGGTTTGTCTATTTCGTCTACTTCATGGGTGAATAACAGGATTTCCTTATCTAGTAGTTAAGCTTGTTATAACTAGAATTGCAGGTCCAGGGTCGAATAACCATAACAGAATCATCAACCACAGTTGAAATTTAGGAAACGAAGGTTGCCAAAATGCTTTTATCTGTGGTAAAAAGCATTAGTCATCATCTACATATATATAAATATGTAATGTCGCCACGATAAAAATATGGAAAGTACAGCATACAATCAAACATTGGTTGTTTACGTTATTTTTAATCGTACTGTGATAAAGAATACTTAATTATGTTTTAGATGGTGGTTGACCTGCATACTTTCCTAGAATAAACGGGATACAGCATGGGTAGTGCCACATGTGGTTGCAAAAACACTTAATGGACGTTGAAAACATGACCCACAAATATTTTGCCGAAGTTTGAGTTAAGCTTATCATGCTTAGCGTACCTCGAGTTGTATATGCTGTGCTTAAAACCATGCTCTATTACCTGCTGTTAAAGGCTGGTCAGCTTATCCGTTAGTGAACGATTTTTCTTATCTTTGAATAATGTAGGGCAGCTCAGATTTCATGACTTGAACACACAAGTGTGCAGTTTAATTTGGTTATGTAAATATATTTTGTAGCATGTATCCTTCATATGTCAAACGCCTTTGTGCATAAAAAGAAGGAATTAAAACGTAACCTTTCCTTATTAGCGTTATGCTGTACGATTTTGTTTGGTTCATAACACATTTGGAATATTTATTCGAAGTAAAAGCTCCTACATCAGTAGACTCAACAATTACAGGGCCAAATTATCCACATACTTAGACAATATGTATGAAACAGTCGTCACAAATGTCATTTTTTCAGCAAAACAAAGACAACTTTACCGAGTTTCATTTTTGTTTATGTTCGGTGGAGCGAATATATGTCTGTCAACAGAAAGGTCACATGGCCAAGGACGAGTTGGGTATGGTAAAGAGTAAGTCTCGTATAACAATCAAGATACAGAGAGACACATGTTACCATTCTTGTGTGTGTTATATAACACAAATGTAATTTTTAGTACGTATAATATCTCGCATGAACAAGCATGTTTTGTATTGCTCTAACCCTAACTTTCGGTTTAGGTATGCGAAACATAGGAATTGTTTTCAATACTGGTTGTGACAGAATGTTATTAATGTTTTGGTACTTATATATATGTTGCATTTACTACTTTACATAACTTACTCATAATATAAATATATGCTATTAATCAAATAATGATATGCCGATATGTCAGTTGTAAATTACCGATATATGGCGCTGTTCTCCTCTTCACACCTGTGTACCTCAACCAGGAAGTAATTCCCACTTAATGCGTGTTTATATACATGGGGTTATTCCGGAAAATGGAGATAACGTCATTTCCACGAATCGTTATAGCTAAAATAGCACGTAAATTTCCCTTTAAATTGAAAGATACGAAAGCGTTTCTTTCTACCTGTTATTGCTTTACTTTTATTATCTAGAGGAAATAAAATAGGAAAATCTATGTAAGTGCATCTAAACATGCTTAAATTACGTCTTATGAATGTATGTATGTACAGACTGTACCTTTGTTAGAGAGGATCAGACGTGTACTAATCTGTATCTGTGTGTAAGGGAGAGACATACCTTTGTTAGAGAGGATCAGACGTGTACTAATCTGTATCTGTGTGTAAGGGAGAGACATACCTTTGTTAGAGAGGTTCAGACGTGTACTAATCTGTATCTGTGTGGGAGAGAGAGAGACATACCTTTGTTAGAGAGGATCAAAAGTATACTACTCTGTATCTTTGTGGGAGGGAGAGACATACCTTTGTTAGAGAGGATCAGAAGTATATTACTCTGTATCTGTGTGGGAGGGAGAGACATGCCTTTGTTAGAGAGGATTATAAGTACACTAATCTGTATCTGTGTGGGAGGGAGAGACATACCTTTGTTAGAGACGATCAGATGTGTACTAATCTGTATCTGTGTGTAAGGGAGAGACATACTTTTGTTAGAGAGGATCAGACGTGTACTTATCTGTATCTGTGTGGGAGGGAGAGACATGCCTTTGTTAGAGAGGATCAGCCGCGTACTAATCTGTATCTGAGTGTAAGGGAGAGACATCCCTTTGCTAGAGAGGATCAGTCGTGTTCTAATCTGTATCTGTGTGGCAGGGAGATAATACCTTTGTTTGAGATGATCAGACGTGTACTAATCTTTATCTGTGTGGGAGGGAGAGACATACGTTTGTTAGAGAGGATCAGCCGTGCACTAATCTGTATCTGTGTGGAAGGGAGAGACATATCTTGTTAGAGAGGATCAGCCGTGTACTAATCTGTATTTGTGTGGGAGGGAGAGACATATCTTTGTTAGAGGGGATCAGACGTGTACTACTCTGTATCTGTGTGGAAGGGAGAGACATATCTTGTTAGAGAGGATCAGCCGTGTCCTTATCTGTATCTGTGTGGGAGTGAGATAATCCCTTTGTTAGAGATGATTATAAGTACACTAATCTGTCTCTGTGTGGGAGGGAGAGACATATCTTTAATAGAGAGGATCAGACGTGTACTAATCTGTATCTGTGTGGGAGGGAGATAATACCTTTGTTAGAGATGATCAGACGTGTACTAATCTGTATCTGTGTGTAAGGGAGAGACATACCTTTGTTAGAGAGGTTCAGACGTGTACTAATCTGTATCTGTGTG